TCATCTCAATCATAATAATGAACTACCATGAATGCTTGTAGTATATCTTCTAAAGTCCAATTTGTACACTCTATTTATCTATCTATTTAAGGATAGAAGGTTATAGATATGGCAAATTATGTACTTAGTAGCTTGGACAAGGCTTGCCAAAAACTTTGTGTGAAGCATGGATCCTGATCTGAAACAATGACATAAGGTAATCTATGGTAATAAAAGACAATATTGAAGAAGATAAAGTCTAGCATAGAAAGTCTTATTGAAGGATTGCTCTAATAACAAAGTCAAAAACATCAATGTCAAGTGTACAAGGAAGGCTGAGATCATATAGTTGCAATATTAGAGCAATAATGAGTGCTTCTTTCAATCTACTTAAGGTGCTTTGCTGGTCTAGTTTTCATTCAAATAGAGCACCCTTCCTTAATAAGTTTGTCAATGAGGTAGCAATGTATACAATTTACCAAACAAAACAACGATAATATCCAACAAGAGCTAAAAATGAGTAGACTTCAGAAATATCTTTAGGAGTTGGCCAATTCTCTAATAATTTTACCTTATCTTGCTCCATGCGCATACCTTTAAAAGATATCATATGTCCCAAAAAAGTATCTTTTGACTTCCAAAGTTCACATTTTGATTGCTTGCAATAGAAGCGACTATCTTGTAGCTGATACAACACTTCTCATAGGTGTTGCTCATGTTTTTTAGGAATTTTACTATACACGTGGATATCATCAATGAAGACAATTACATACTTGTCCAAAAGGTTCTAAAACAATATGTTCATGTGACCTATGAAAGAGATTAGAGCATTAATAAAGCTAAGAGGTAAACTAAGCCATTCAAAATATCCATAGGACATACAAAATGCCATCTTTTTTATATCTTCTCTTACAATAGATATCTATTAATAGCCACTCCAAAGATCCAATTTACTAAAGATAGTCACATCTTAAAGTTGATCAAAAAGATCATCCATATATAGAAGTGGATATACATTCTTAATAGTCTGCTTATTAAGGCCTTGATAGTCAATGCAAAGTTGAAGTCCACCATCTTTTTTGGGTGCAAAGAATACATGTGTTCTCCATGGTGATGTGCTTTTTCAAATGAAGCCCTTCTTCAAGAGTTTGTCTAATGTCTTTCATAGCTCTTTAAGTTTATTTGATGTTAGGCAATAAATTAGCCAACTTGTTGATTTGGTTCCAATCAATAGTTCTATTTGAAAAGGTGCACCTTGATTAGCAAGCATGCTACTAGGTAGGTTGGTTGGAAAGACATCTCAATATTCTTATATGAGTTGCTCTATCCATTCTATTCTTTTGGCTATCTTTTCTACCATTGATGAAAGATTTGGAACCACTATATATACTAGCTACTTATGCTGTATTTGCGTCTTCATAAAAGTCATTTCTACAAATAATTCTTTAATTGTAGATTTTTTTTTTTTTTTCTTCACTCAATACAGAGGTACAAAAATTTACCTTGGGTCCATCCTCTTTGAAGGAGATTGTCCTTGCTATCCAATCAATTTACTTATTTTCCACCTTTAACCATGTTATATTAAAAATAACATCATATTTTAGCTTTGTTACCTTGAATCTCTCTCTTAAAACATAGGTGTTAGTCAACCTCAAGGTTTCTTCTTTGTATATCTCACTCAATATGCTCTCTTAGCTATGTACAAGGTATATACTTTCTCCTCTAATTACCTAAGTTTTAATCCTAAGTTAATCGATAATTTCAATTGAGATGTAATTTTTTGTAGAGCCAAAACTTTCAAGTACTTTACATGGTTCTTCTCTTAGTAGTCTCGTTAGATGCACCAGCCGACTCTTATTATAGTTATCTAAGACCATGCCATTTGTCTCTAAGAGATAGTATTTATCTCTATTATTGGCCCTTAGCTTCTTTACTAAGGAGTCTCATTTCCTTGCTCTGTCTCATTATCGACTTAATGAATCTTGAGACTGTGAACACACCTTATTTTTTTGGTGCTTGAATTTTGACTTTTTAGATAACTTTTGATATGATGGCCTGACTCCCAATAATAGAAACATAATTCCTTTTACACCAATATTTATCATCTTTGTGGTGTCAATGATCCTTGTAGGGCATCAATCTCCATTGGCATTGGTTGTTGTGCCATAGTATTAGATAACAACATAGAACTTTGTACTATAGATTGTACTCTATAATTTTTGAAATCTATAGCATCAACCCTCTTTGCAATCCTAATTTCTTCTTCAAATGTTTATGGATCCTTTAGTTCCACATTTCACTAGATCTTAGGTTTCAAACCTCGTAAGAATCAATCCATCAACTTTACCTCCAAAACATTATCAATTTAAAGACATAGGAACTTAAATTGAACATACAATCTTGCATCGACCTAGATTATGTAAGATTTGCCAACTGATTCTGTATTATCTTCTCTGCATTGATGTGCCAAAATTGATTTCTAAACAAACTGTCAAACTCCTCCCAATCACAAAATCCACCTTACGCTCTATAGCTTTGAACTTGATGTTGCCACCAAATGGCTGTCGCATCTCTCAAATAGCTGACTGTATATATAATTTTTTTAGTGCTATTTGTCCCAAATAGTTGGAGGTATTTTTGTATGTTAGAGAGCCAGTGACATACATCTTCTTGCCTTGAAGTTCTAAAGTATGTATTAGGCTTACTCAATTTCAGCCTAGTAGATGTCAACTCTTTTAATTGAGGCACTTCTATTTGCTCTTGTAAAGTAGCTATCTGATCTAAGAAGTGTTGTATTTGAGCCTCTATCTAGGATTGCTCCCATGCTATAAATCTCGTACTAAACTCTACTATTGTAATGCCTTCTCACTTCTTGACTCACTTTTAAAGAGTAGCTTGTAGTAGCCTCAATACACTACCCAGTGTAACCACAACAACTGACCTTGATCTATATAATGACTATTAATATACTACCAAAGAACAATCTAGCATTTATTCTAATATTAATAAAATATGACCAATCTATCTTAAGAATCTAAGATCCTTCTAATCCATAGTAATTTAAAACCTCATCACAAAGTAGGACAAATTAGACTAGAAAAAAATTGAATAGAATTAAACAAAATAAGACATAAAAGATAAAATTGAGCAAACAAAACTAAACAAGAAGATACAATACCAAATTTTACTAAGAGAAAAGGTTCGAAGCCATATATCACCAAATGTTCCAAATGGCCCTGGCCAATCTTATTTATACTTTGTTCTACTACCTTAGACTTTCTAGAATATTCTTAGATGATGGATCCGACTTAGATAACCACCTTAACTTCTTTTCAGAAGGTTCTATCATGGACCCTACCTAAATAAGTATCCTAAGTTCTTTCTAGAAGGTTCTATAGTGAACTCCATCTAGATAACCATTCTAAACTCTTTCTAGAATGTTCCACGATGGATCCTATATATTCCACTAATCTAGATCTAATTTTAAAAACTTCCATAACTTCTCACATATAGTTCCAACCATCTATATTTATGTATCAATAATACAAATATCTTATCTATACCTTGTTATACTGCACATATTGACTACTTATTTTATAAGTTGGCTACTTATGCTACAACTTGTCTATGTGGCGCATACATTGAAAACTTGCCTTGAAAGATAGACATACATTTCTTTAAGTTGGACATGTATCAAATGACATATAGAACATTGCCCTATAGCTTTTTTGTTAGATGATATATTTAGAGGCAAGAGTGAGGTCTCTTCATTCTTATCAACAAATTTTTATATTCTTGTCTTAGTTTACTAATCTCTAATCTCTTTCTATTTGATAATAGTCATTCTAGTTTTTGGCTTATATCTATCTTTGACTTGTCTACTTTCTCTTTTTAAGTATTACAAGAATACATTGCTTCTTTTGAATTTTGTCATGATTCATGTTCTTGACACACTCCTATATATACACAATACTATTATCATTATGTAATTATTTTATATTATATAGCCTTATCCATCTCCCAATAATTGTAGATATGTATGTTTATTAAGCCTAATTTTTCTACACCTCCTACAACACTTTCTATTTGTACTTTCTACTAACTAAAATTTGAAAGATCTCCATTAGATGCTTATAGAAAGAAGGAAGGCCATACTTGTGTGTGTAATTTATATATTCACTACATTTTATTTTGTTTGTAAAAGGTTCCATTCATAGAAGATATTATTATGTATATACAAAGGTGCATGGCATGAAGGTGTCTACATACTAAAAGAAAGATGTCCACTTAGTGGTTTAATTTAAAAAAATATATTTTATAGTAATTTAACTTGTATCCAAAGAACTTTTTCAACAATCTTTTTTTCTACATTAGTTTCCACATTAACTTCAAACATTATATATATATATGTATATATATATTCCCCTTATGTACGATATTTTGAAAATCAGAATCAAATCACATATTCATGACCTTTTGCCTTAAATGCATGCATGAACACTCATCAATCACCAAGCAGTAACCTAATTTTCTTAGTAACATTACAGACTTGTGAGAAAGTTACATACACAATACAGTTCACTTTCATTGAGCATGATAAAAGTTTTCAAACTTACTGCAACATTGTTGTGTTGTTGGCTTAGAAATCCAAAAGTAAAAACGATTTTCAAATCTTCCCAGAAAGCACAACAACATTGTAGTCAAGTATGACAAAAGATGGCCTCTTGAAAACAAGCCCCTACAAGGAGAGGCTCACACACACCCACAGGACCCCACTTCTCACCCACAGTGTCAGCCAGTGTCATTCAGGCAACAACAGATGATGTGCACAACTAACCGCAAAACAACAACCTTCATGATAATCCACAGACAAGGTTCCAGTAACCAACAGTAAACAGACCCAAAAGCTGAGCTTGGGAGCAGTTTATCCACCCATTAATAACAAAAGGGTAAACCCACAATTGTGTTTACAGAAAGAAGAAATAAAATATATATATATAAAAAAAAAACACAGAGGTTAATAAAAGGCAAAAACAAAAGAGTAGCGAAGCAGAAGTAGAAGATAAGCAAGGGATTCCAATGAGACCCTTGCTGCCTGGGGGAGGAGGTACAACTGCCGCCGCATTCCGCAGGCGTATTAATTGCCTCATTCTCCAGCTCCAGGTAACTGAGCCATTGAGCAAGCAGACAGGTAACTTACACCCAGTGTGCACAGTTAGGCAGCAGAGAGGGAGGGAGGGGAAGCCTAAAGGCCTTCACGAATTCCCAACACCACTAAACCACCAAGGAAGCAAAAGCAAAAAAAAAAAGCAGAAGACAAAAGCATCCGTCAGTCTTCACTGCAGGCGCACAAGATCAGCAGCAGCAGCTGTAGCATTGAATATAGAACGTCGGATTTGTGTGTGGGGGATATGGGAAGAAGAGCTCATCACCATACTGGACTTGGCTACTTTCTCTCACTTGTAGCTGGCCGTCTCCTCGTACACGACGCTCTCTCTCTCCCACACACAAATCCAGGTCTTTTAATTCTCTACGCTTGTAATGATTCCACCCCTGCTCTGTCAATAACTGTAACATTCTCCCCACCCCCCCCCCCTCCCCGCTGTGATTTTTTTTTAGGGTCAGAGCTTGGCAGGGAATTTATCGATGGTCTTGAGAGGGAGACGAGTTTTGTGACACGGGTGAGTGATGTCGTCGAATTGAAGTAACGCATGAGTTGTTGGGGGGGAGGAGTGTATTCCTTCGGGAACTGTGACGGTCATATGTTACATAACGTTTGAAAACCATGTCCTCGTTTCGGGCAGCTCGCATCGTAGCCCTGTATTGCTTTGGTGGAGATGATGGTGGTGGTGGTGGTGGTGCTGATGATGATGTGGGTGTGTCAGCCGCTGCCAGCTTAACAGAATGCCACTGTGATCATCCTTGTTTGTTTCTTTGGAACCCCGCTTTCCCTCCCCCCTCCCTCCCCACCTTGCTTTGGCCTTCGTCGTCTTGTCCGTGAGATGCACCTGATCTGTAAGCTGGGTAATCATAAGGAACCTGGCTTGCAGGGATCTCAGTGATGAGTTGTTTCCTGTCGATGAAGGTCCTGCTTTTTGTTGTTGCTAGCTTCGTGCAAAATAGTGCTCAAGTGGACATTATCACATGCAGTCGCGATGGGTGATGGTGTTCCGATTGGAGCGGCTTGACCACCTGGTGTGTTGTGGCGACCTTGTCTCCTTCTCTCCCCCTCTGGACTCGCAAAAGTGGTTGCGATGCGAGCTTGAGCTTAGCAGGGTAGATAGATTAGCAACCTCCTAATTCACAGGTGCTCGCTGGGAGTAATCTCTCGGAAGCGCCGCTACCATCATCGTTTTTTTCAGTCTCTTGAAGTTGCGAAGGCTTTAGTTTTAGTTTTCGTTTTGTTTTTTTTGTGTTATTTCCCCCGCCTATCTAGCTGAATGCACGGTACTGTTGGAGATTGTCTCGAAGTTGCAACTATCCGATGACTGCTGTTAACTCTACAGCCACAATTAGTTGTACATCATACCCGGCTGACTGATAGCGGAATCAACTTGATGCGAGTAATGAAAGCTCTTGAAATTGAGAATAATCCATCGAGGCTTATGTAATCCTCGCCATTTTCCACTGGCCGTCCGTGCTCCCCTCCTACCCGAGATTGGTGCTCCAGTGTGAGCATCTGCAATGGCGGTGTGCTGGAGATTTGTCATGGTGCTCTTGCTCACTCTGGCATCACTTGTTGCTCCCAGCCAACCCCTATTCCAACCCCCAGCAGGTATGCATGCGCTCTCCACCATCCCATGTTGTCTCCTCTCACAGTCAAAGATCATTGTTAGATTCTGCTTGCTATCCTGAGCCTGATAGAATTGGCATTATCGTGAAGTGTAGTCGGCGCTCAACGATGAGTGTGGCATCACGCCAGTGCAAGGTAGTGATTCGACCACTTTGCAATGCAGCGAACGTCGTCAAGTGGAGCCATGGATAACGCCTCATGTGTAGAGTCTAAGCCTAGGCTTGGTCACAGATTCAGAGAACAAAGTGGGGGGGGGGGACTGATAAGAATCAAATTCTCGTAATCTGCTTGATGTTGCTTTGTGGTTGCTCGCTCTGATAGCAGGGCCTTACCAAATGCTGAGGGGAGACCTGAGAACCTCAAGTGCTGTGATCGAGAACCAAATCCCTCTTGACGTATGACCCTTCATCACCACCTGTTTCGCATCGAACTCGAATTTGAGTTGCGTGAGTTTTTGAATTGCTGTTTTTCTGGAAGGTCGCTAGAGGTGTAAATTTTGCATGTGGGCACTTGAAAACATTTCCTGTCATTCCGCGCAGGGCCCAGCTGGCTCTGATGTGGAGCAGAGCTGGAACGTCCCTGTGGGCCGACGAGGTCGGTTCCGCAGGCTTGTTCAAAGGGGTGGTCAAGTAGATTGCGACTTACAGCTGAAGTGCCAACGTCGCAAGGGAAGGGAAACTCACAACACGCTGGATGACGACCGAGAGAGATCACGAATCCACGAAACCCTCGCCAAGTACCGACTGCCACCGACGAGACACATGGCACACCTCAATTCCGACCGAATGGTTCCGACGGGACCCAACCCACTGCACAACAGCAACAGGTCGCAGATCGCATTCCCTTGAGAGCTCAATCCACCACCGCGCACATCCAATCGATTTGTCCGAGAGGGCTCTTCCTCTTGACATCACTCGTCGATCGCCGATCAACCCTAATTCATCACACGACAACCCACTACGGACATTGTTCACCGCCGGCCTGCAAGTCACGTCACACGGGTCGAAAATTTGAAGGGAAAATCACCAGCGCGACAGAGATTGGAATCGAGAAGTAAAAAGGAAAGGTGGGTGCGGCTCAACGAGGAAGTTTGTTTTTGCGACGATTCTCATCGTCACACGCGATACAGCACTGATCGTGCTCCGTGTCGTGATCGAGCTCAAGAGAGTGATCGGCCACTCGAGCTCGCATCGGATTCCGGTCAAATGTACATTACTGAGTGCCGCTTTATCCATCATCTATGAATATATTGGCTATGAAATTTTGCACCCCACTCACGCCATAGCCCACAATTGCTTGCTTGATGTTTCTTACCGCGAGTAATACTTCGAGTCGAATGCGCACGAGACAACACACGTTTTGATGTGCGATGCAAATGCTGCCCCACTCTTCGATGATCCTCTGCAATAGTCGGTAGAATTAGGGTTTTTCGAAGCCTTTACTAACTCTAATTAGGGTGGGTTTTATTTTTTGGGCTTCATTTTCTATGTGGATGTGCATTGAGCGTTGAAATGATTTGAAAAGTAGGTTAATGAAACAGAACAATCATTTTTTGTACCGTAATTCTCTTTCATGCTTTTGGGTGTTACTCCTTCAACTCCAACACCTTTAATCTACTCTTAACTTCGTCTCTTTGTTGAAAGGTCCTGGCATAGCATTTTTTTATTTATTTTTTCTTATCCGTTTGCTTGTATGAGTTCAATGATTTGACCATTTGGAGTTTAGTAGAGGTTCTTAATTTGGTTGATATAAATTGATATAGTTACATGTTTTGTAGAAATTAGACTGTGGATAGTTGATGTTTGGAAAAATTATTAATTGTAATCTTGTCCGTTACACTTGATGATATAGGTTCAAATCATTACTAAGTAGAGAAAAGTAGAACGTATAAGAATAAATTCTATCATACCAAAGATGTTGATTTTTCTTTATTGATTTTGGAATTGAATTATGACATTATAAATTAATTATGAATAAAATTAAATCAAAATATTACCAAATATTGATAGAGTTTTGATTTTAGGTTGTTTGATAATATTTTAGCATCAGATTCTTTGTAATAAATAATAATTGATTAAATATACATATTTACATAGTAGAAAATATCAATATTTTGGATAAAATGTATTATATTTTAATGAGTTTATAAACATTGTAATCTCAAAAAACATACAATTAAGTTCAACAAACATGCATTTTTATTCATCATCACTTGATCATCTCATATATAAAGGCATATATATATATATATATATATATATCCAATTCAACTATAATTTTATTTATTATCATTTGATTTACAAAGGAAATAATAAGAATAGATATTATCTAACATAGTGGTATTTTATCATCAAAATAGATGTCTAATAGTGCTTATAATTACTTGATGTAATGTTGCACAATCTTGCATCTTGAATGGACACTTTGGTGTGTAAGAAAGTATGTGTGTTTAGGTGAGATGAAAATAAGACTCAATTTCTATAGGGTGTGATTGGTTGGAGTTGAAAAGCCTCCCTATCTTAGCTTTATTATTGGAAAAATTAGTCATGAAGCTATGAAACAAAATCACATGATTAAATGTTTTTTTTTTTTTTTTTTTTTTTTTTTTTTTCCCGGAAAAGAAAAATTAGGGTTGTTCCTTTGAAAGGCTAATCTAAAGAAATAGTTTTCAAGAAAAAGATGAAAATTATTTTAGAAATTTCTTAAATATTCATTAAGATTTTTAAAAATCTATTTTTTGGTGGTTATAATTGTAAGAATCGACATATTATTTTTTATATTTAGAATCATAACAAAAAAAAAAAAAAAAAAAAAAAATCATGCCATGGCCTCTTTTCACTTTATACTATCTCTAAAAGCCAAGATTTCTAATTTTTTTTTTTTTTTTTTTTTTTTTTCACTAAGCAAGGAAATTTTGTAAGGTTTTTAGACCGTGTCTTTTCAAGTGGATTTTCATTTATAAAAATTCTTTAAGTTGTTAGTTAAATACCAAAACAACAACTTAATATATGTATTATTGGCTATGAATCAAATAAAAATAAATTATTATTTTATATATTTATAAAATTAATAATCTTTTATAACATATTATAATTCTTAAGTTCATTGATATTGTAATTTTACTTTGAATTATATTATATTCTTAAAATTACTAATCAACTGATTATTTAAAATTTAACCTAATTATTATTATTATTATTATTATTATTAGTAATATTTTATAAAAATATTTAGTCGAATGTTAATATATGATCTTATTTATAGCACATATAAAGAGCATAGCAAAACTTCACCTACTAAAATAAAAATAAATATAGTGATTAAATTATTGGATTCTAAAAGCTACAAAAGAAATAATATGTTTAAGTAAAAATATTTCTAAAAATAATCAATTAATGTACTTAAAATATATTCCACTCTATGCACATATATTAATTTTTAAACAATATGATAAAGAATTTTAGAATTATATCATAATTTGATACATGTAAAACATACAAATGTATATTATAAGTGAATAAATTCTTTCTTATGCAAGCCAAGTAAAAATAGATTTTATTAAAAAAAATATCATAATATTGCAAAAGCTTCTGAAAAGAGACTTGTTAGCAAATGCACTTATTTGTTAACATATAAATCCATCAATGATGTAATTAAGCATTGCAAATATTTTTCAATTTGCTTGAATTTACTAGAAGTTTCATCCAAATAATGATGAATACTCTAAACTCATGGCTTGAGTTAAAAAACAAACAACTATACCAAGCCACCATACCTTGCAATAAGAGGGACCATAAATTGGAATCAACTAACATCAAAAAGTGAATTGGAATGTTTTAATGACAATAGAAAGAATAATATTATTAAAGAGAAATTTAGTTTCCTAGAAAAACTTGCAAAATAAATAAATAAACAAACAACTTAGGCAAAGAAATCACCAAACAAAAAATCTACAAAGTGAAGAGAATGATGGAGAGAGGCAAACAGCCCACTACGCTCCTTGAAAATGGTCTTCATTGGTAGTGACTTGGACCTACTTTGGAATTAACTTTGAAGCAGCAAGGAAAGCAATGGTGGAGGTGTACACAAAAACAAATAAAAACAAAGAAAAAGAAACAAATAAAAAACACACTCATACACACATACACACACACTTCCCGCCGGGAAAGGCAAAAGAGGAAGAATGAGGCGCCTGCAGAAAGTGAGGTCATTCAAAGAACTCGACGGCAACAAAAACGGAGAAAGGACGAGTGCATACTTCGAAAAAACATCAATTAGCCCACCTTCTCAAAATTCACACCTTTTGAAAAGTAGACAAAGCTTGGCTCTTCACAACCTTCAGCAATCTCACTCGACCTTCCCGGTCATCTTCTTCGCTCAAGACTCTCGCAAGATCAAGCTCATAAGTTCAGTTGAAAGATCAAGTGCATCATCCTTTCCAAGCCGCACCTTACAGATCGCCTTGTTCTATTACCACAATCGGAACCAAAAATATGTATCATGAACTTGGTCATGAACTATTTTCATAGGTTGTGTTTTTCACCACCGCAATCACAATCGCAGTGACGTCGTGGACTCCAGTCGGGCGTTCATAGAGAAAAAGGCCTTCAGGCAGTGTATCACGGACGAGGATTTCGGAATGCAGATACGATTATTCTACAACTCCATGATTGAATCTTTCAAAAGGAACATGATCATCGCACCCTAGGGTTTTTTTGGATAGCCTTTCACGACTGCTTCGTGGGGGTAAGCGATGGAAACGGACTCTTGGGTGCTGTAACCTTTCGAGCAAGCTCTGGATCTTCGCAACATCAGAACCTCATTTCGTAGACAGTAGACGCCGCAACTTCATTGTGCTCTGAAACGGCCGTTTCCCTCATGTTTTGCGCACTCAGGGCTGCGATGGTTCCATTCTGCTACGTGGATCCAACACAGAGCAAGCACTTCAATTCAACTGGAGACTCCAAGCTTCCAGGCCGTCGACGCCGCCAAACAAGCTGTGAAGAAAGCCTTTCCTAGCATTGACTGCCCCGCTGATGACTTGCGAATTCGACGCCCGTGACTCAGTTGTACTGCTAATTTACCATGCTCCATGTCAACAAGTCGACTGCAGCTCTCATTCACATCAAAGTCGCTCTCGGAATCTCTCCTGCGTGCCGGTCACGCCCATGCTCAAAATCGCCAGACATGAGCGTGCAGGCTGGAGGGTACAGATTGCACTTGTGCGGTGGTCGCCGTGATGGCTCGGTTTCCATCCACACAGAAACCTGCCTTCTCCAAATACGACCATCCCCGAAAGCTTCGAAATATTCCAGAGTAAAGTCTGGAACGAAGTGCAGATGGTCACGCTTTCAAGAGAATCAAGCGAGAGCGCAGTGCATCACATTCGACTAACACCACGTCCAGGCATCTCCTGTCATCCCAACTCTGGCTCCCTGCTTCGCAGCGTTCCTGCAGGGGACGGTACCACGAGTCACGACTCTAGATCGATGTTGGCATGGATTTTACCCCCATGTCGATTCAACACCCACTATCGTCCGAGGACCAGGCATGCGTTCAAGAGCGGATCCTCGAAGGCGATGGTGGCGATGAGCCAGAGTGATGTGTGTGCAGGGCAACGATGGCGAGCTCATGCGTCAGATCGGCGAAGAGAAACAAGCACAAGATGGTGTAGGAGTACTTTCTGCAACAAGTGGACGTTTGTTTCGATCAGCATGAGTATTTATTCGAGGAAACTGGCGGGAAAACGTCGCCTTTATCTAATTATCTGATCGAAACGACCAAGCTGTGCTGAATCTGAACCTGGAAACACACACATTTCTCTGCAAAATCGAGGCTTCCTATAATTGGAGAGAAATGCCGACTCTGGTCATAGAATTATTCTGGTGGTCGATTTCGATGTCGTAGCGTGCAGTTCATCTAGTGCTGGAGCCTATTCAAAAAATAATTTGTATAAAAAATTAATTCATTTGTTTAGAAGGTTTTTTTGTGCTCAACATTGCAGGTTTCTAATATTTACGTATTGATATTGCAACTTTAAAAAACCACCACAAGAGTTGTTAATAAGTTGCTCTCAAAGTAGAAGAATTCTTCCTGTGACTAAGAGAACAGGTTCTCTTCTAATTCTATTTAGATGCAGAAGTACTAAGTGTGATTATCTTGCCTCGACTATCAACACAATACAATAATGTGCTCACCAATACACTCGGTTATTCGTCGATAATTAAGTAAATAAGGAGGTAATTCAGAAGTTGCATTATATTCAGAACAGAAAGGGTGTTGTCTTTTGTTTGGGGTTGTTTGGGATTCAAATATTTCGCTAAAAATTCAAAAAAAGAATCAAGAAAACTACCTTTAATTGTCTGGTTTTAATTCCAGAAATAAAAGCCTTTTACATTTGGTGTTTTAAGATTTAGAGGATTGATCTTGTATTTTAAGAATTCAAATGTCTGGAGGTAGAAAAAAATATCATTTGCAAAATTACATTATTTATAAGTATATTACTATGAAAATATACTTGATTTTATAAATATATACACATACATACATACATACATACATACATACATACATACAAATATAGTTTAGCATAAAAATTGTTTTATATTATTATTGTTAAAAAA